CCCAGGGTCCGCAGAGCAGAAGAGCTCACAGTCTGATTGAAGATGCTCAAATCCCACTGTTTATTGAATTAGTTTAAAACAAATGAGAGAAGAGGGAGAAAAAGAAGGAGCAGGTTAGCACACTTAGATCAATCACGGCAAAAGTGATCAAGGTTCCCACTGCCTGAGTTTTGGGGTACACACGACTCCAGAGTGCTGTCTCATCGTGGTGTGGTTCTGATGCCTACAGTGGAGGGTGAACTAGGGGGTTCTGCACCCCAAAGGCGCCAGGGCCACAGGGGGGAGGTGCGGGGGGCGGGCAAATGCTCTTGGCCATGACTGTAGTTGGCTGAAAACGTCCTTGGCAGCCATAGCTTTTAACTGCATGGCTTGGGCACAGGACTCAGGGAACAGATCTGGAGTCACCAGCAGGAAGCACCTCACTGGCGCATGGACCTTGGGGCTTACTCGATCCTTCCATCCTTCCCATCTATGTTCAAATCATTCTTAACATGTCTACCAGGCCCCCTGAGTTGCTTCTGAAAAACCATTCTTTGTTTCATCTCTCTGCCTCCTTATTCGTGTGGCTTTCTTGTTTTCTATATGGCAGAAGTGACTATCCTTTTTTTAAAAAATACAGCAGATGGGCGCCTGGGTGGCTCAGATGGTTAAGCGTCTGCCTTCGGCTCAGGTCATGATCCCAGGGTCCTGGGATCGAGTCCTGCATCAGGCTCTCTGCTCCTTGGGAGCCTGCTTCTCCCTCTGCCCCTCTCTCTCTCTCTCTGTCTCTCATGAATAAATAAATAAAATCTTTAAAAAAAATAAAAATAAAAAATACAGCAGACACAAGAGAGTTGTTGAGAGAATTTGATAAGATAACTGTGGAAAGTGTTTAAACAAAGCCTGGCACAGAGTATGTTTTCAGAACATGTTTATTATTAGTAGTATCATCATCCAAGGAAAATGGAGGGTCAGAGAGAAAAGCAAAATAGGGTCCCTTGGTCCAGGGAAGGGACCAGGTGGAGAGAGATACCACTGTAAGAACAGACATTGGTGAGGGAGCATCTGGGGAGCTAGAGGGGGGTGAACAGATGGCGGGGAGGGGAGAGAGGTGACCCCAGGGAGGAAGGGGTTCTCTATGTTCAGCACCTGGTCCCTGAGTTAATGAGGAGAGAGTCCTGGGCACCTGGACAAATAGGTGCATACTGCCAGGAGGGCATACATTTGCTTAAGGTCCCTCATCTGCATGGCCTCCCAGGCAATTTGCATACAGATGGCAGTCTGTGCCCTCGGTGCAGGTCCAACCCCTTCCACCTTGGCCAAGGGTCTGGGGGAAAGGGAAAGGGGAACCCACAGGATCTGGGGCTCCCAAGAAGTAAAAGCAAGTTTGGAGTAAACTACCATTGTTTATCCATCTTCTATGGCTCCCTGTTGCTCTCAAGAGCATGAGACACCCTTCACTTGGCATTTAGGACCCAAAATGTTGCCCCTCACTCATAACCCACTGCTCCCTCTCTCCACATGTTCCCGCCTTGTGCCTTCATGACTTTACTCCTCCTGGAATGCCCTCCCCTATTTCCCCCATTGTCACAAAGCTAGCCTGTCCTTCAAAGCCTGGACATCTTGAAGAATTCTAGGAAGTTTTCACTCCCCTTTCCCTGTCCTGGGAACTTTATAAGAATCTCTGCCTCTTCTGGACTCCTATAGATTCCATCAGTAAGGATATGTTTGGTTGCAAATAACCAGAAAGAAAAAAAAGGAAGTCAAAAATTTGTGTAAGTGAAAAGGAAAATTATTCACTCATATAACCAGGATGATCAAAGGCTGACTACCTTCAGGCATAGCTGGATCCAGGGGCTCAAATAGTCTCACCAGAAAGCTGTCCTCTTCCATTTCACAGCTCTGCTGTCCTCCAAGCACAGGCAGGGGCTTTTTCTCTCAACTGTCACCCTAGCGCCAGATTTCTACCCTACCAGTTTAGCAACCCCCAACAGAAGAGTGTGTCTCAGGGCGCCTGGCTGGCTCAGTTGGTACAGCATGCACCTCTTGATCTCAGGGTTATAGGTTTGAGCCCTACGTTGGGTGTAGAGGTTACTTAAAAAATAAAATTTTTTTTAAAGATTTTATTTATTTATTCATGAAACACAGGGGGAGAGAGAGAGACGCAGAGGCAGAGAGAAGCAGGCTCCCCGCCAAGCAGGGAGCCTGATGCGGGACTCGATCCCAGGACCCCGGGACCATGACCTGAGCCAAAAGCAGACGCTCAACCATCTGAGCCACCCAGGCGCCCAAAAAATAAAATCTTAAAAAAAAAAAAAAAAAGTGTGTTCCTTTCCTATTCATTCAAGAGGAAGTCTGAAGTCTCAGGTCTAATTCCCATTGGACAGGAATTGGTCCCATCCCCATCCCTGAACCAAACCCTGTGGCCAGGGGATTGATCAAATGCTCTGATTGGCCAGGACCGGGTCAGGCTCATTCTGAACCATAAGGACTGAGTGTAGGGGATTCCTTGTAGGAAAACTTGGTGGGGAGGGCAGGGTGGGGGGACTATTGCAAGAAGGAAAAGCGGTTACAGGTTGCCAGGCAGGGTAAATACTTGGCACCAACTCCAAAGCTTCATCAGGAAGACTTTGGCCTTGTGCCTGTACCTCCGGGTGGTTATGGCTCTTCAGTGAAGTGCCATGGGACTGCTCGACACTGGAGGCTGACTCCTCAGGCATGAGACCCACCCAGGCATTTATCAACAAACACGGCAGTGCTCAGCTTAATGCATGTTCCCTTCCTCATGTGAAGGGCGCGTTAAACTCCAGCTTACCCTCCTAGGGCTTCCCTCCTGGGCTCCACAAAGAACAGCCAGGAAGGCTGAACTCACTCATTGACAGGCCCAGAAAAGAGCAGGTGCTACGGGGCCTTCCTAGAAGAAATCTCCCTGAGGACTGGGCATCTTGTTCAAGAGAGAAAGCGGTGTTGGGGGGAAGAGGGGAGGCAAGGATTTTGCAAAGCGAATTAGTAGCAAAGCAAAACCCAGAGATCCTCCGCCATCCAGTCTGACCCCAGAGTGGGGAGAGAAGGACAAAGAGATCACATCTGTTATGCACCTATTTGTCCAGCTGCACTAACACCAGGCTGGTGCCAAGCCTGAGATACACATTATCTGGAGGACGCGTAGGGTAGGACGCTAAGAGTGCGGACTGCCTGGGTTCAAATCCCTGCTTGCTACTTTCTTGCTGGGTGGCTTGGGGCAAATGACCCTCAGTGCACTTTTCAGTGAAATGGGGATCATGATAATGTCTCCTCCAGTGGATTCTTGTGAGGAATTAACTAAGATCCATCAGTCCCGGATTTGCCATTCTGTAACTCTGTTGGGCCAAGTCATTTCATCTCTCTGTGCCTCAGTCCCCTTATCACATAGGGTCCTGCGTGGGTTATTTGAGATAATACAGTGCAGGTAAATGTGTATCCAGCACACAGTAAATACATTTACGAATAGTAACATTACCAAGACTTGAAGGCAGGCCAGTAAGAATCCCTACCACTTGAGATCTTGCCCTTTGGGGAGGAAAGCTCAGGTGTGTGGTGAGTGGGAGGGGAGGGCAAGTCTTGGGGGGTGTCCTCTTGCTGGGGCAAGAAGCTCTCAAGCATTTGCCCCCAGTTGGTCGGCACCCTCGCCCTAGAGGAACTGGAACGGAGGGATTTCAGGAGCTCAGTGGCATCCCCCCCTCCCCAGCCTCCTGCTTCCCGCCCTCACCCCAACACACTGGGCGGCCTCTCCAGCTCCCCCCGGTCAGCCCTAGGAATGTGAAGAGGTAGGTGGGGGTGGGGAGGAGCGGGCGCCGCCGGGGAGAGACAAAGGGGCCGAGTCAGAACTAGAGACACAAAGACGCGAGGAGGCCCGGAAGATAGGAGAAGTGGGACAAGGACAAGGGGAGGGACCGGCGGAGCCTGGAGGCCCGACCCTAGCCCAGCCCCGCAGGGCCAGCGGAGCGCGGGGGGCCGGTCTGTGCCGCCCCCTGGCGGGAGGCCGCGGTAACGAGGAGGTGCGAGCAGATGCGGGAGAGGCCAGGGGGATGCACGCAGCGAGAGACACAGAGAACCGAGGCAGGAACAGAGACATCGAGAGAGACACAGAGACGACAGACACCGAGGGACACACTTAGAGACAGAGACAGAATCAAAGGGATGGAAAGAGACACGGGGACCAAGTGACACAGGAACGGTAAGAGAAAGACAAAGAGAGCAGAAACACAAAGCGACACCGAGACGTGAGGACTGAAAGACCCAGGGTTAGAGACATAAAGGGACGAAGGAGAGAGAGACACAGAGCCAGAGACACTGAGAGAGGCAGAGAAATCTGGGCAGGAATGGTGCAGCGACGCCCAGAGCCCGAGGCAGAGATTAGCCGAGACAGATACTGGGCGGGGGGCAAGAACTAGGAAAGTCTCGCGGCGGGGAAGGGGGTGGTGGTCTCAGCCTGGGGGCGGGACTCCAGGAGGGGCGGGCCTATGAGAACCCACGTGCCTCACGCAGGTGTGACGACGAGGCCTCCGCTAATGCCGAAGAGGGCGGGGCTAGAACTTCGCGCGGGGCGGAGACGCGGCGGGACTGAGTTCCCGGGAAGAGGCTGGATCCACTGCCGGGAGGGCGGGTGGGCGGGGCCGCGTCGGGGCGTGGTTTCAGGGGGCGGAGACCGCCGTGAGCCTCGGAGGGGGCGTGACAGAACCTTAAAGGAGCCGCCGGGAGATCGGGGGAGGCGGGGCGCGGGAGGCCTCCTAGAGGGCGAAGGGGGCGGTGTTTGAACGCCAGGAGAGGCGGAGATAGAATTCCAGGGGAGGGGCGAGATAGAATCCCCGGGAGCGGCAGGTGTAGAATCCTGGGAGGGGGCGGGTGCGGAGTGCTGGGCGGGGCGGGAGTAGAATCCTGGGGAGGACCAGCGTGGACTCTCAGAGAGGGCGGGACAGCTTGAGCCAGTGGGGCCGGAGCCCAAGGTCGGCTCCGCGGGGGGGCGGGGGGGAGGAGGGAAGGGGTGGGTCCTGTGACGTCAGCGAGTCCGAGCTGCCCGAGACAAGCCTGGGGCCGGGGGCACCGAGCGGGGAGAGCCCGGCCCCGAGAGCAGAGCCACGAGAGTAGAGCGGGCGGGAACCGGCCGGGAGCCGGAGCCCCTCAGGCACCTGCTCGACCGCGCAGCGGATCGGCGCTCACGGAGTGGCGCGCAGGCCCCCGCCCGGGCCCAGTCCCTCCCGGGGCCCCCCCATGGCCCGGGCCGCAGCCCTCCGGCCGTCGAGATCGTCACCGACGCTGCCGCTCCTGTCGCTGCTGCTGCTGCTGCTCCGGGAAACCGGTGAGAAACCGCAGACGCCCACCCCCCGCGCGGACCCAACCCCTTCCCCACCTTCCGAATCGGAGCACCTTCCCCGCTCCACCCCCGGTTCGCCGAGCCTCCTCTCTCGAGCCCTTTCCCTGGCTGGCCCCCACCGACTCCGACCCTTTCCTCTCTTGCAGCCCTCTCCCCCCACCACCCTTCTTTATCCCAACTCCCCAGCCTACACCGGACTTCTCGGTTACCCCCTCCCCCTTCCTCAGATTCTAACACCAAAAGGGTTAAATCCGAGTCTTCGCCACCCCCTCCCCACCTCGCACCGAGCTGTCAACCGGATCTAGGGTTCCGTCTCCGCTTACCCCCTCAGGCATGTGGGGAATTTACCCCCCCCTTCCCCAGGAGGAGGGTCGCGATGAGGAGACAAGACCATCCCCATTTTCCTTCTCCCAGGGCTGGGCGTCTGAGGCCTTGGGAGAATTGAGGGCGGGGGGCCAAATGTCCAGGTCCCCCAGAGGGGCCGGGAGCTCGGACTTTGGGTCCCTGGGAGGGCCAAGGATGAGTTCCGGCGACCTGGGGAACGACTCCAACCTTGGGCCTCAGGGAGATGAAGGCTCTGATTCTTGGGGCCCAGAAAACAAGGGGCTGGAGCCAGGCTCCTGGGCTCCAGAAAAATTAGGGGCTGGGGGCTCCGTCTCCTGAGTCCCAGGCAGAATGAAGGCTAGAGGCTATGTGTACTGGGTCCTGGTCAAATTGGGGGCAGACAGGGCTCAAACTTGGTTCCAGATTGTGAGCAGGGGGCTCTGTCTCCTGGGTCCCAGGTAAAATGGGGTGGGGGAGTGGTGGAAGAGGCTCTATCCCGTGGGCCTCAGATTTAATTGTGAACATTGGAATGTCTTCTGAAATCCAGATATAAAATGTGGGCGGAGGACCCTGTTCTTGGCTTCTAGATGTAATCATGGACCAGAGGCTCTGTCGGGAAGCTGAAGCTCCGTCGGGGGTGTCCCAGGCCGAAAGAGAGGCTGAGTCCCAAGGGCTGGGACCCTTCCTTTGCCTTGTGAGCCGTCAGCTGGGACGTCCCTGGGGAAGTTTTACCGGTTTCACTTTAGCTGAACCCGGGCGGGAGGGGTAGGCGTTCTCCCGGCTCCCGGTTCCGGACTCCCAGGTTTCGGGACCTTATCTTTCCTCTGGTCGCGCCCTTGTCCTCGGAGCCGCCGCGAGGGGGGGCGGGAGGGGGGACGCGCGGAGCCGCCGCCCTAATCCCCCGCCTCTCCCTCCGCTCTGCCCACCAGCACCCTCCTATTCCCCTCAACCCCCTTGAGGGAGGGCGCAGCTCTCAGAGGAGGGAGGGGCTAGGAGGAAACAGGTGAAGGAGGTTCTGGCCCCGCCCCTTGCAGGTGACCGGGCTGTTTATTCTCAGCTAGAAACTCTGGATATTGGAGTTTCCCAAGGGTTTGCCCAGAAAGTGTAGGCGGGGGCTGGGGAGGGGGGGGGGTGTCTTGGGGGAAGCCCTGCTTACCCCTCTGGCCTTATTTTTCCCAGCATGTCTCTGAGTTGTATCCCAGCCTTTACTCAGAGCCGGGTACTGCCTCTCCCTTGGTGTCAGAGATAGGGAGATGAGATCAGAACCTGCCGCTCCCGGGAAATGCTCAAAACCCACCTGACCTTGAGCCAGGCTTTGACGTGATGCACGATCTCGTGGAGGATTCTAGATCTCCTTGGGAGACACATCCTATTCCTGTTCCCATTTTGCAGATGGGGACACAGAGGTTTCAAAAGGGCAAGCCTCTTTCCCAGGGTCCACAGCCAGTCCCCAGGAAGCCGGACTGCAGACTTCAGAGCCTTTCTTGGCTCTGCTCCACTGGGTGCCTCTGAGCCTCCATTTCCTCCTTTGTAAAACTGAGATAGTAACCCCTTCCCTGCAGGGCCATTGGGAGGAGTCAGAGCTCCCGCTGATCCCATGTGAAAGCTCTTAGCACCTGGGGAGGGGGCCTTCCCCTTTCCTGACCCCTCATCCTTGTGCCTACGCTCCCAGCTTTTCTCTCTGCCTCCCTCCCTCTCTCCCTCCCCACCCCCCCCCCCATCGCTCCCCTCTTCATTTCTCACCTCTCTCTGCTCCTCTGGCTCTCTCATCTCTCACAGAGCTCTTTCTCCCTTTCCTTTCCATCCATCTCTCTCTTTTTTTTTTTTTTTTTTTAGATTTTATTTATTTATTTGACAGAGAGAGACATTGAGAGAGGGAACACAAGCAGGGAGAGTGGGAGAGGGAGAAGCAGGCTTCCCACGGAGCAGGGAGCCCGATGCGGGGCTCGATCCCAGGACCCTGGGATCATGACCCGAGCCGAAGGCAGCCGCTTAACGACTGAGCCACCCAGGCGCCCCCATCCATCTCTCTTTACCTGTCTCTAGCTCCTCAGCCTTCCCCCTGCTGGGCCTCCGCGGACTGAGGGTGCACCACCTGGGCCTCCAGCTGGGTTTTCCCCAGCTTTCACTGCTTATCCTTGTCAGCCAGGCAGCCCCACAGTAGTGGAGGGGGATGGGAGGGATGGCGGGCCTGCTGTCTCTTCGTGTTAGGGAAGGGGGACTGGGCAGCGAAGTGGGGGTGGGTCTGCTCACAGGCGGAAGCAGGGAGGGGGGAGGGGAAGGGGGGGAGGGATACACAGAGAGGATAGAGATACAGGGATGGGGACAGAAGCCCATGGAGAGTGCATCTGCAACAAATTTAGGGATGGGGTCAGAGACAAATACTAGAATGGAACCGAGAGATGGGAAGAATGAATTACAGCCCACAGCGGTGGGACAGAAAGCTACTGAGAAGGGACAGAGAAAGGCGGGGGAGGGAGCTGGACAGAGACAGCAGGATAAAGGCAAGAAGTGCCTAAGGAGAGAGACTTAGAGGTTTGGTGACGGGCTGGGAGCCCAAAAGCCCCCAGCCATCAGTGATGGAGATGTCATGACCCAAGGAGGTCAGGGCACAGGCGAGCCTCAAGGCCAGCAGTGTGTGGGGGCTGCAGGGAGTGGCGCATATAGGAGGGACAGGGAGTTAGGCACGCTGGCCAGCTCCTCCGCCCCGCCAGGGACGCTGTTACATTTTTAATGTCCCAGCGATGCTGAGAAATGGGGGCGGGGGGACCCAATGAGATGGCCCAGGCATAGGGACAGTATGTCAGAGATGTGGAGAGATGGGCAGAGATGGGGAGACCTAGGAGGCAGAGAGGTCCCAGGGCCAGAGACCCTGAGAGATGTACCCCAGAAACCCCGAAGGATTAGAGACCCCAGGAGTCAGTACAGGGCGCTGGATTCCAGAGATGAGGAGACCCAGACCCAGTGAGACTGGGCTCTCAGATGTCAGACAGAGAGGAAAGAGAATCTGAGAACAGCTAAGGATGTGGGCGATCTGGGGATAGTGAAAATGTTCCGAGATGGGCTGCGGTGGGCTGGAGGCCCGAATCTGTGAATACACTTCCACCAAATATATAGTGTATGAATATACTGACGCCACTGAACTGTGAGCTTCCAGTGGGCGGATTGGATGGTATGGGAATTATGTCTCAATAAAGCTGTTAGAATGTGAGAGACACGGAAAGCAGAGACTGAGAGGGATGGAGACAGAGACCAGAGACCCTAGGAGTTGGAGGCACATAGGGACCGACTCAGGGCTCAGGAACCAGATGCAGAGAGAGACACAGGAGATCAAAGTGACAGGACCTGCAAGAGGGAGGCCAGAGTCTCTTGGCCGGAAACATATTTGGGGCATGTGTAAACTGGGTGTGGGAGCGCTTCTTTCTGTCCTAGGGGCTCAGCCAGGAAGAGCAGTCCCAGAGACTCACCCCCAGAAATACCAAACCACACAGGCGAGGCCTTCAGGGTGGTCGAGCCCCTGCAGAAGGGCAGGGAAGTCTCAGCCCAGGGAAGGGCGGGATAACCGCCATCTGAGAGATGATTGGAGGAGACAGGGAGGCAGGTGCAGAAATCCTGGGCACGGCCAGGGAGCCGCATATCCTAGCCGCATATCCGAGCTGCTGCTCACCATCCTCCCCAAACCGGCTCCTGGATGTCTGCTGTGGGGGTGGGCACTGTGATTAATGCAATTAATTAATTAGCAAGGTGGCTGAGGCAGCAGCTGAGGCCAGTGCTCAAAGTACGTTGGCCTTCCAGGGCCTGCTCGAGTCCTGCCACGCCCTACAGGGCAGGTCACAGTGTTTATGGGTCAGGAGGGGGTGAGCCAAGCCCTGAGGAGCCAGCCAGGCAGGAGCCCAGGAGTCCGAGCCCCCAGCCCCCTACTTCTCTGGGGCGCACACGCCTCTCTACTCTGCCACCAGAAAGCCCACATCCTGGGACTGTAGGGAGAGGAAGTGCATCTGGGGACCCGGCTGACTCCTCCTTGAAGTTGTCACTAGTCTGGCTTGCTGATGAGGGAAGCTGAGTGAGTTCCCTGTTCCCAGGGCCTTACTCTCCCACGCTGTGAGGCCAGCCACGCCCCAGCCGAGGTCACGGCACCTGCCCAGAAGCATGCCAGATACTAGGATTCTGAGTCCAGGCCAGCCATCCCCCTGGGTTCAATTCCCGTGCCTCCACCTGACCCGCAGAACATCTGGGCATCGGCCCACCCCTGGGCCCCTAACTCCCGCAGCCTGTCGGCCTCATGTGCCGGCCAGTCCACCTTTGAACTTGCCTCCAATCCGGCTCATCCTTCTTCCTCATACCCCCCCCCCCCGCCCCCACGTCCCTGCCCCATCCCATTCCGAGGGCTCTTTCAGAAGCACACATCTAGGGGCGCCTGGGTGGCTCAGTTGGTTAAGCGACTGCCTTCGGCTCAGGTCATGATCCTGGAGTCCCAGGATCGAGTCCCGCATCAGGCTCCCTGCTCGGCGGGGAGTCTGCTTCTCCCTCTGACTCTCCCCCATCTCGTGCTCTCTCTCTCTGTCTCATTCTCTCTCTCAAATAAATAAATAAAATCTTTAAAAAAAAAAAAAGAAGAAGCACACATCTAACCCTGCCCACCCCCGTCAGGTGTAACTCTC